TACCCGGAAAATAATATCCGTAGCTTTATAGTTTGACTTTTCCCTCAATAAACATAAAAAATCTCAATCAAAAATTAAATTTTACAGCTTGAGAAAAATGCCTGACAAGTCTCCACTTCATAACATAAATACAAAAATCTTTTACTCAAAGTGAGGATGTAGGGTAATTAAGTAGCAGAGGAAGACACCCAGTTACAGAATCTTTTTGACTCACTTGAGCAGACTCTGACAGGCCTCAATATCAGATGTTTGTAAATCCAACACTGATTGCCCGGATGCAGCAGATTTAATGGTCCCTACCGCACTGTCAAATATTGCTCTCTGGTACATGTCATCTTCCACCTTCTTGAGAATCTCTCTCGCCACCTTAAAATCTAATCCCCCAACCAAAATTAGTTTCCCAATTATCACACCAAAATTACTAGGTGCTTTAGGTAAATCTATGCCAATATCATCCAGCAGAGAACCGAATAACAAACAGCCTGCCTCAATATCTATAACAGTAAGAATCTTCTTAATGTATAGATACTCCATGAGATTGACTACAGGTTCAACACATGGTGGACTTTTATCAAGTGCAAGATAAATGGCTTCCTTAACAACCTCAGGGTGATAAGAAGGAGATTTTAATTCCTGCACACATTGTAATGCCTCTTCCAAAATTCGAACACTGAAATATTCTTCTAGAAGAGAGATAGTTCTGCGGCGAAGATCATTAGTATTCAATCCACTGGCAGGTGCTTGTGGCTTCTCAGAGGATACAAGAACAGGAGCAACAGTTCTATCATGTGAAGAGAGCTGAGGTGCTGTCTCATGGCCTAAACTGAAGTTTGCTGGTCGAGTAGAAGATGTAGCAGCTCCATGCACTAAGGCACTATTTCTTCCACTTATAATACCACTACTCCCTTGAGGTAGCAATTTTGAATTAAGGATTGTGGACTTGGAAAGTAAAGGGCTGCTGGATCCAGCAGCTTGAACACCCGAGAAGTCTCCTCTTGGCATAGATCTAGTCTTAGGCATCTCCCAGTTGTTATTATCAAATCCAGGCCTCCCAGGCATCTTCCTGGTCCCTGGCGTTCCAGGCATCAAACCCCCTGTACCAGGTCGAGAAATAGGGAAGCCCCCGGGGCTGAAATTTCCTTGAACACCACCACGGGTGTTTCTCATACTTGCAGTGGCACCTGGTCGCAAACCAAGATTCTTTTCTGCTTCTGAATGAATTTCAGTAATGGTTTTGGCTTTGATCTACACAAGTCAGCATTAAAACTTAATAACAAGGCACTAAACTTAAGGATATTGTGTCACAGAATATAAAAAGTTACCTCTTCCCGTCTAGGCACCCAGTTATTAGCACGTAACTCTAGAACATCCCGAATCATGAACCTAATCCGGGGTACAAGTTGTAGATTTGAGCTCAATTCTTTCAATCGACTAAAGTAAATATCATTTATACGGCGCGATTTAGGACCCTCATCAAGCTGCTTGCCAATAGTGTTGAAAAACTGACATATGGCTTCAACATTTTCCTCGGCAGGACAAGACTTGCTGTCTGGGGGTCCTAAAAGCTCCTACTCAAAGCAAAAAGCATACTAGTAAGTGAATATTACTAAACTGACGCAGACATTTTATATGACAGTAGACATCTTAAGTCCTTCAAACCTGAACAATGTGATGGACAATCTTTTCAGGGACCATCTTCTGCTTCAATAGCTCACCAATTAAACGGATATTTCCTAGAGTCCGAAGCTTGAGCAGTCTTTCCTTGTCCGTACGGTCCATCTCCTGCTCAGGGGCAGCCATCCTTTTTAGTTCTACACCTTCAAATGCCTCCTGGCAATTATTCAATAATACTCGCCTAAAGGTGATTTCCTTCCCACCAGGTTCCCCAGATGGGAATGGAGGCAGTTTTTCATTCAGATCAGAACACAGCTGAGCATACATTGGGCAAAATGTTGGTTCTAGAACAGCCTTGTCAAAAATAAGTGAAATGACATCCTGCACTCACAAAGCAAAGCGAGTAAATTTAGAACAAGGGGAACAGAAATAGATAGACAAGAGCAATTTAATATTGACAACCTTCAAGATGTCAGCAGAGGTAATGCCAGAATCAATTAACTGACCCTTCAGGACATCAAATTTCTCAGGAGTTAACTTATTCAGAATTCTGCATAAAATAAGACAACAGCATATAAATATCAGGAACCATCCAATTAAAAATTAGTATAAATAGATGGTGCTATACTATTATTGTATATGAAAAGCAGAAGCCATGCAGGTCCAAAGACCCTTAACAGAGTAATATGTGAAAAAGGCTTAAAAGAGCTTCAGAAGTAGCTCATCAAATTATACGGGAAAGGTAGAATCCTTTGTAAAAAAGACTGACAAGTTTATTACTTTTCACTTTCATATTTAATAGTCAACAGCCTCCAACTGTGCAAGGCTGAAGCCATTTTACAACCTGCCAGCATCAAGGGAAATTACTGCACATGATACAAGTACTACAGAAGCTGAGATTCAAGCATACATGGCAACCCAGAATCCTTTCACATAGCATGGCTAATAGGACCCGCATCTAACTGTAATGTACTAATACAAAAACTATTACCCTTTCACAGTCTTTAAGACACGATCCTTATCAGATAGACTTCCCCTTCTGCCTGACCAAGGAACCTCCGCCTTGGCTAGTGTAGGAGTAGGTCCTCCCTGAATAAATAGACAGTAGATTAAAAATAATGCATATTCATCATGTCAATCTAATAGGTAAACAGTAAAACAACAATGATATGAAGCAAAAACTCCTAGTAAGGGCATGTGACAAATACTCTTAATCTATTAACCAAGAAATTATGATAAGGCCTGCAGCAGAACTCACTCATCATGAATAACTAGTCTAAGGGGAACAGGTCATACTTCAAATTAATAACATACAAAAAACATTCAATACTAAATAAAACTAATTCCAATTCTTTAATTGCAGTTCAGCACAATATCTTCTGATAATTGTAATTTTTACAAAACAACCCAACTAATGTTCATTTCGATCCATACTATCACATGCTTCTTCAACTGACTTGCATGATCTGCAGCCAACTAAAAGAAACATACTACAACTACAAAATTAAAGTTGCCATTTACACTCGGATGAAAGCGAATGAATATACATTGTAACCAACAAATTAAGAATAGAAAAGAAAAACCAGAAAAATTATTTACTAAGACAACAGCCTATCATGTGAGTTAGCTGCTTAGTGGTGATGATTGCATCACATATCCAATTCGATCAAGATGCATAGCATTACAGGTTGGCATAGATAAAAACTAGAAAACAAAAATAAAAGCATGCAAATATTGGTCAAAGCTCATCAGGGAATATGCAGAAAATTTTTTGTGATAAAATATATATCAGGTAAAAATAAATGTAAGTATAGCAATCTCTCCTTTTGAAAAAATCTCGTCTCATTTATATCTTTTACTGTGAGGGATAGAAAAATAGTTAAGGCAGTTGAGTAGCATTCTCCATTAAACTGATTTATTTCTTCCAATGCTTACCCCTTGGGTAGAAGATATCTGTGTCCTTGCAAACTGGGAATTAATATGGTCTTGGCGATTAGTCTGACTACTGTTATCTCTGAGGTTTTCCCAAGACCTCTCATCTGGACTAGCAGGAAGTTGTCCAGAACGACCTCGCCAATCACGATTGTCTAACTCAGAATACTGGTTTGGAAGTTGATGAGGAAGCTGCACAATATTACATAACATAAATTGCAAAAAAATGAATACAGACATAAAACAGATGATAATTAATTGCAACAGTCAAAAGAAAAATGTATCAGTAGTACAAGTATCAGTATGACATTCTAATTACAGAAGTCTTGTCACCATATGATACAGACAAGTACGTTTTCCACTAAAAATAATCAACACAAATCTTTATTGATCAATTTAACAAATAGGATGGAACATGACATATGGTTCTAAGCACAACTATCAATATAATTAAGGCAGAGAAGATAGTTACATTGCTGTCAGCTTGGCCACCCCAACTTTGATTTTCACCAAAAAGTTCAGCTCCTATATCTTGCTTAATTTTCAGAATATCAGCAAGGACTTCAACAGCCTATGAATGAAAATTTCAACAGATAGATAACAGTTAAAACATAAGTATTACTTTAGATGCTTACACAAGTAACAAAAATAATACTGAACTATGACCTTCAGAAGCAGATTCCTCTAGTATGGAGGGGAAAAGGGGAGAAAGACAACGAAAAGAAAAATTTGGAGGCACGGGTAATAATCTAAATTGCCTTTTAATGGACCAAAACACAATCCCCCCCCCCAAAAAAAAATAGACTGCCATAGTTTATAAATGAGGACTCACAAGGAAAAATCTATACAAAAAAAAAGAAACAATTAGCCATGACAGAGTGCCGATCCACACCAGATTTTATCAGAAGATAGATGTGATCAATATAAAGCTTAAAATTAACAAAGAAAAGGGCAGCAGAAGGAAGAACTGTGTAATAAAATAAAAATTCTGCATATTCAGAAACAGATTTATAGAATTAAAACTAAAGCTAAATTACAGGGGCAAACAATTACCTTGCCAAGCTCTAAAAGCTGATCTCTGATATATTACACACGCTCACGAACCTCAAAACGTGAATCTCCGGTCTATAAAACAAAAACTAGTAAGATACAGATCTCTATGCAAAGTCCACACACTGGAACCATGTCCTTACAACCAACAAATACCTCAAAAGGGCAAGAAAAATGAAAGACGTATATGATAGTATGCAACAATAAATATCAAATCATCACAATTAGTTTCCATTCGAGTCCTTAACAAAACTACGGTGAAGAAAATGGTTATACATGAACCAGCAAACACAAACTCAATGATGAACCAACGGCATTGCCTATTGGATAGAACCCCATTAGTGTTGAGATTCGCTAAACAACAGCCATAAAACCAAACCCTAGTTCCAAAGACAAACGAGCAGGAATGTGTGTGGGTCCTTTATGGGCAATCCAAAACTGAAGAAAGCCCACCTAAAGCCCACACTTTGTTTTATGTCCATATTTACAGCAAGAACCCATAACTGAGTGCTCCCACCAAGAATCAGGACATTCCAACTTCACCTTCTCCCTAATACTCTAAACTTCAATTCTGTAACCCTAAATATAAAATGATAGTAATACTAACAACGACAACAGTTGGGCATTATAGCGAGATCCAAACAAAAGGTGCGTGAGAAATCGGAAAAGTGAGTGAAAAACAAGAGAAGGGTCTGACCTTGAGAGAGAAGAACGCATGGGGGCGCGAGAGAGGGAGATCGACGGAGGGAGGGTAAGGGGAGGAGGATGAGGAGGAGAGAGCAAAAAGCCTGCTTCCGCCGCCACGACCACCGCCAGGCCTCAAGCTTAGAACCGTTGGATCACCCTGCTGCATATCACTACTCACTGCAACAGATAAGAGAGTGTTGATCGGTGGTTTGTTGTTTCTTCCCTCTCTCTCTCTCTTCTTCTGCGCAGCGCCAAGGAGAAGAGAAAGAAAAAAGGTGCTGGCGACAAGAAACAAATAAAACCCTTAAACCACACTACTATGGCAGCGGGCGGGTACTGCTCGTCTATTTGAGCAAAGTTATCAGGTTTAATTACTCCATTGTAGGTTTAAATAAAAAATAGTTTTTGAAATACAGACAGTAAAATCTATTCTTTTTTCCATTAAATAAAAATATATAACTAAAATCATAAGTAATATAAGTTCGAATAAGAGAAAAATAATATCGAAAATTAAAAATACTAAAGATCTCTGTCTACAATTCCAACAATATCAAATGGTTGACAATCTATAACTCTAACAATTACATTACAATTTAGAAAATTGTAATTTGAAATAAATGCAACAAATTTTACTTGCACTAATATTTCTTCACTGATTAGTGATTTTCAATTGTTACTAAGTAGCGTGCAATGGTATTGTTTCTAACTTTATTTAATAATTAATAATAAAAATAAATTTTATAAAATTTATTAATTTTATATGTTATTTTTTAAATTAAATAATAATAATTAAAGTAATAAATAATGAAAACACTATTAACAAAAACATTATTCTTATTCCTTCTAGTATTTTCTTGTGTTTCAAATAAATAATTATTCGGTAGGTAGACTATTATCGTTTGATCTTATAATAATAATTATAGATTACTATCGTTGGTCTTAGAATGATAATTATGATTATTGTCGTGACGTGTCTAACATTTTAGATCGTCCAATTTAATGTTGATCAACTGATCATATAATATAGTATTATATTCTAATAGTCTTATATTCTTACAATCTTATATTTTTATAATCTTATAATTTAACAATCTTATATTTTAATAAGCTTATAATATAATGATTTAAATTGATTTTATAGCCTAATAATTTTATAATAAGCTTATAATCTAATAGTTTTTATAAAAATCACCATTAGAAAAGCTTTAATTTTTTTTTGGTATTTTGAATTTTAAATTCAAAATTTGCAATGACATCTTTACATTTCGTTTTCAATTTCAAATTTTAAATTGAAATTGGGTTACCATATATTTAATGTCAATCTTAATTAGAAAAAGGTTGAAATTAAAATTATTACTTATTTTTGTATAATGTAAATTTGCAATTGAATAAGATTTTTTTAAAATCATTATGAAAATATAACTTGAATTTTTTCTATTTGTTTTACATCACCTGATTCTATTTATTGATTATGTACCGTATATGTCACCCAATCAGCGTATTACCAAAAACGATCCGTCGGTCAAAACTCTAGAACTTCCAAAAATATGGTAGATCAGTCAACAATCTCATTGGCGATCAGTCGGTTGTAAGGATGGCAACGGGTCGGGTCGGGTACGGGTAGTGCCTACCTGCAACCCGACCCGCCGGATAAAATCGTACCCGCTACCCGCCGAGTACCCGTTTAAAAAATACCCGCGGGTATTTTAAAACCCGCGGATACCCGCAAAAAAAAATTATTTAATACATTTTAAAAGTAAAATTTAAATAAAAATACAAATATATATATATATATATAATATAAATTAAATTAAATGTAAATTAAAATCTAATTTTAATTAAATTTAAACTAATAAAATATTATTTTATTTTATTTTTAATTAAATTTAATTAAAAATATATATAAATTATTATTTTTTTAATTTTTTGCGGGTAACGGGTACCCACGGAGCTGGTAGTATACTACCCGTACCCGACCCGTTTAGAAGCGGGTATTAAAATACCCGCTACCCATTACTCGCGGATAGTTACTACCCGCCGCGAATTTTACCCGCAGGTACCCGTGCCCGCGGGTAAAATTGCCATCCCTAGTCGGTTGTCAACCTCATTGAAGACCGAATGGTCACACTTCATATTAAGGATATCATAAATCCAGTACGATTAATAAGACAAAACATATTTATGAGATATTAGGTCGTAATTGGGTCAACCGTAATTAAATGTCTATTCGGAAATCTATAAATATAAATGTAAAGTAAAGAAGTAGATAATAACATTTATTAGACATTTAATGCTTAATTGAGTGTAGAAGTATCTTTTGACAAGTACCTACCCGTTTGATTTGGACTTTAAGGAAGAGAAAACAATAAGTTACAGTGATAAAATGTGAAAAGAGTAGTTATCGACCATACCATCCAAAACAAATTGTTTGATTATTATTTTTCATACTAAACTTTAGGTACTCATATGCAAGACCGAAGAGAATAAATTGAATAAAACATGTGAAAACACTTATAAATATGCATACAATAAACAATAAATGTGTTACAATAATTATTTAAATTTAACGTATTACAATTTTGAAAGGGTCTATTGAAAGGACTTATTTTTTTACAATCTTTTTTTTATTTAGAATTTCAAATTTAAACTTTGATGCAATATCTTTATAATGTTTTGTAATTTTGAATTTCAATTCCATAATTTGTTACCACATATTTATAATTTTAAATTTGACAATATGAATCTTAATTTTATAAAAATATTGAAATTGAACACGTTAGTTATTTTTGTATATTTAAATTTTTTTAAAACTTATAATTTTCATTTTTTTTAACAATACACTCTATGTTATTGAAATTATTATTTAAATTTCACATAAAGGCATTATAATTTTAAATTTCACAAAAGAAAACTCCTAATTTTCTCGAGTCATTAAAAGGTTGAAAAGATTATGAAAATGGTTTGGAGAATGAGAGGAGAGCAACTCTACTCCTTTTTATCTATCTTTCTCGCATTTTGAGAAAAGTGAAGAAGAAAGAGACAAGAGAACAGAGGGACAGTGTACATTTATAAAACACTTAAGATCTTAAGTGTCTTTGATGTTTGTGTCTTTTTGGACTTAAAAATTTTAGTTGACTTGAGTAAGAGTTCACCAACTATTTTAATTTTCTTTATTTATCTTAAAGTATTGTATATAAAATTTGTTAAATTACATTTCTTTGTGATTATTTGAATTAATTATTGTTATGCTATTAATGAGACAACTTACAGTCAACTATAAAAAATTTACATAGAATTTATATTAATCAGAGTTAACTAGAAAGTTGTAAATTTTAGAGCATTACAAGTTTCATTACTACCAACCTCTATTCTTCACCACTGTGGAGATTTTATACCGTGTAATTATCGTAGTATGCTCTGGCTAAAACACAATAATTTCCCAAGAGAATTAGCCAGAACATAACCAATCAAACATGTTAAAACTCGGTGGCAATGCACAATTACAATAATGGAAGCTGATTCCGGAAACGGAAGCACGTTTTTAAAGTGCTCACAATTGAATATTCCAGGAGAAAGATGCTGTGAAACGGGAACAAAAACAAACAATAATAAAAGAAAGTAACATAAGGAAGTACTGTGAATACTAATTGTTGAAGTGAGCTCAGAGAAGGAAAAGTATTTTCTTGGCTACAGATCAATCACAGAAGATGTTCAGGGTGAGCAACAATCTGGTTGGGGTGCTGAATCTGCTGGCTTTCCTTCTCTCGATTCCCATTTTGGTGACGGGCGTGTGGCTGAGCAAGCAAGCGAACGCGGAGTGCGAATGGTGGCTGCAAAGAATCTTCATTGTGTTGGGCGTTTTCCTTCTGGTGGTGTCTCTGGCAGGCCTTGTCGGCGCATGTTGTCGTGTCTCATGTCTCCTCTGGCTCTACCTCTTCGTCATGTTCCTTCTCATACTCCTTGTTCTTTCCTTCACCATCTTCGCCTTCGTCATCACCAACAAGGGTGCCGGTCAAGTCCTTTCCAACCGAGGCTACAAGGAGTACAGGCTCGGGGACTACTCCAACTGGTTTCAGAACAGAGTCAACAACGCTCACAACTGGAACCGAATTCGGAGCTGTCTTCGATCTTCCAAAATCTGCTCCCAATTTCAAACCCAATTCGCCAACGACAATCTGCAAAAGTTCTACGCTGAGAACTTGTCTTCGCTTCAGGTATTCTATTCCGCATTTCCTTTTTTCTTTTTCGAATTTCTCCATTTCCATTTCCTCAATGCAAATTTAACTCAAATAATATCCTTTTAATTTAGTATAAAGCCTCTTCAGCTGTTGTTGTCCAGTGTGTATTACTGTTTTTGCCTTTCCCCCATGACCCACCACCGTGTGGTTTTCATTTCTACTTCTGGAGAAAATGTTTCTTCGTATGCTCTGGCCTGTGAGCAGGAGAGATGTTTGTGTAATTTTATGTCATAAGTCGGTTTCTTTCGAAGGAGTTGTTTTTCTTCTGTTCTTTTGTTATCCTCTTTAGTGTTCTTTGACCAAATTTTAAAGGCTGCATGATGGATGTTTGTGCTGTTACAGTAAAAGGTAAGTTGCTTTTTATTTCTCTTGAGCTGCACTTGTGTTGCAATCAGAAATCTTCAGTTCCTTGCAGCATTTAGACGAGGCTTTTCTTTTTTTTTTCCATTTATGATTTATTTAGTTTTCATAAAAGCTTTTGAACTTTCTGAACTACCTCTACCCTTCTTTCACCTAATCTTTCTCTTTCAGTCTCTTTTCCATAAGAAATTTAACTTTCTTCCTGGCATGACATAGAAAACTT